TACACCAGGCATTTAAAAAGAGAAACACTGCAACCCATCCAGATTAAATAAAGGAGCAACCAGACTCTCTCATTCTCCTTCCTATACTTTATCCTGGATTGGAGGGAGGGAAGTATTTATGGTTTGGGAATCTTTTTTTTTTTTAATTTATTTATTCATGAGAGACAGAGAGAGAGAGAGAGAGAGGCAGAGACACTGGCAGAGGGAGAAGCAGGCTCTATGCAGGAAGCCTGACGTGGGACTCGATCCTGGATCCCCAGGATCATGCCCTGGGTCAAAGGCGGCACTAAACCGCTGAGCCACCTGGGCTGTCCTTGGTTTGGGAATCTTTTTCCCTAAGGATGTATATAAAGTTATTTGCTTCTTAATCATGACAAGTCTCTATCTTTCCCATCCCAGGAAGAGTCAGAAGAGAAGAGTAGTCTTAAGTCTGATCAGGTCTCTGATTCAGGCTTTGATTTGTATGGTGCTTCCTCTTTTCCTACCCGTCAAGCTCTTGTGCATCAGAGCTGGGATTATCCTTCCGGGAGAGGTGGTAGAGAATATAGTCAGTTAAGGGCTTTCTGGAAGCTTGGCCTCCTTATAAGACCTTCCCCTCTATTCAGTCTACCACACAATGGAGAACAGCCAGAGCATAGGGTCACCCCAATGCTGTTGAGCTAAGAATATGGGCTTTGGTTGAATCTTGCACTAATAGACCATTAGGACTGTCCCCATCCTGGCTCAGATCCCCGTTTATGTTAATCACCCCCATAAGTTGTCTACTGCCAAATGGGCTCCCATTCTTGTATTGCTACTATGTCCACTAGTCTGAATCCATCCTCAACTCTTCTCATTCCTCTTAAACATTTCCAATGAGCCTCTTAGAATTCCCTTTTTAAATGTTACCATAATTTCTCTCATCTTTTTTCTTTTTTTTTTAAATTGAAACTTGTCTGTTCTGAGAGGGTATGCTTCCTCTGCAGCCCTCTCAAGTAGTGACTGCTTTTCCTTCCATTCCCTGCATACATCAGGGTCAGGAGGTGAAGTGGGTTGGTGTCTTCTCTTGTTACTGTTAAACACTTTTTCCTCCTTCCTTTCTCTAGTCCTAGCTAATCTGAACTGTGTGCCATGTGGATATAGTGTCTCTCATTGTCTCTTCAATGTACCCCTCTAAGGTTCTTCTAATTATCCATTATTGATGACATTATCTTCTGTTTCATCTTTCTTCCCACTCTTGTTGACTTTATTACTTATGGGGATAATTCATCTAAAAATAATCATTCCTTAAACTGCTTACCTCCATTAGCTTTTCTTCCACTCCGTCTCAGCCTGGAGCCTTGGCATTATAGTCACTGTAATGTAATATCTCTGAAACCTTGAAATCAAGTATGATGTTTTCTGGTAAGAAAAGAGTATCTGCCCTCACCACTTTTACTCAACACAGTATGCCAAGTCCTAGCTGCAGCAACCAGACATCCAAAAGGCATCCAAATTGGTGAAGAAGTAAAGCTGTAACTATTCACAGATGGAGATGATATCATATATGTGGAAAACTCTAGACACTTCACCCAAAAAATTATTAGAACTGATAAATGAGGTCAGTAAAGTTGTAGGATACAACATTAATACGTAGAAATTTGTTGTGTGTCTCTACAATAGTGAAGTAGCAGAAAGAGAAATTAATAAAATAATATATTATTTTACATCATACCATTTATAATTGCAGCAACAAGAACAAAATACCTAAAAATAAATTTAACCAAGGAGGTTAGAGACCTATACTATGAAAACTATATGACACTGGAGAAAGAAATTGAAGATGACATAAATAGAAGGATATGCCATATTCATGGATTCGAAGAATTAAAATTGTTAGAGTGTCCATACTACCTAAAGCAATCTACAAATTCAACACAATCGCTATCAGAATACCAATAGCATTTTTCACAGAATTAGAACAAATAATCCTAAAATTTGTGTGGAACCACAAAAGGCCTTAAATAGCTAAAGCTATTTCTCAAGCTTCTCGATAAAGAAGAATAAAGCTGGAGGTATCACAAATTCCAGATTTCAAGATATACTACAAAGCAATAATCAAAACAGCATGGTAATGGCACAAAAGTAGACATATAGATCAATAGGAGGAATAGAGAGCCTAGAAATAAACCCATGCCCATATGCTCAATTAATCTATGACAAGAATATACTGTGTGGAAAAGATAGCCTCTTCAATACATGGTGTTGGGGAAACTGGACAGCTACATGCAAAAGAGTGAAATTGAGCCACTTTCTTACATCATACACAAAAATAAACTAAAAAATGGTTTAAAAACCTAACTGCAAGACTTGAAACCATAAAACTCCTAGAAGAAAACATAGGCAGTAATCTCTTGGACATCTACCTTAAAAACATGTTTCTGGATACGACTCCTCAAGCAAGGGAAACAAAGGCAAAAACAAATTACTAGGACTATACCAAAATCAAAAGCTTTTGTGCAGCAAAGGAAACCATTAACAACATGAAGAGGCAGCTTACTGAGTGGGAGAAGATATTTGCAAATGATGTATCTGATAAGGGGTTGATATCCGAAATATATAAAGAATTTCTACTACTCAACACCAAAAAAAAAAAAAATCCAATTAAAAAATGGGTGACAGATAGCCAACAGATACATGAAAAGATACTTAACATCTTTGTATGTATGTGTGTTTATATACGTTATACATATCCCCACAACTTTTTCTACCCATTTTTTTTCCTGTCCTCCATGAGAGTTGAATCAGCATCAGTCTACAGGTTTTCCCCAGTCCTCTTCAGCCCTCCCTGTTTTTCCCTCACGGATGTCTTCCCCAATACGTCTTTCACATGTCTAATCTGACCTTACAATCTGTTTCTCAAAGAACCTGAACTAATATACCACAGCTGAACTGTCAGCAATTTTGTTATTTCTGTTTCCTAAATATATCTCTTGCAGCCATCCACTTCTCTCTATTGCCATCATCACTGAGTAGAAGCTGTGCCATTTCTCCCCTGGATTACTGCAACGGTTGTCTATTCTCCAATCCATTCTCATCACAGTAGCCAGAGTGATTTTTTTTTTTTAAATAGTAAATCGATCATGCCACTTCCCTGCTGAAAACCTTTCGATGGTTTTCCATTATGCCTAGAGTAAAATTTAAACTCCCACAATTGCCACAGATGCTTTAAAACCTGGCTTCTGCCCATCTTTTTAGCTTCATCTCATATCATCTTCCTCCATGCCCTCACACTCACCAAGCTCCAGCCATACTAATGTCCCTTCTCTTCCAACAAATTGTCAAATCCTTTCCTGCCTTGGGCTCTCTCTGCTTGCTCAGTCTTCTGTATAAATTACTCTTCCCCCATCACGGCAGGTGGGCTCATTCTCATCCTTAGTGTTCAACTTAAATGTCTCCTCATCAGCAGGGCCTGCTCCACCCCAGCCATATCTCCACCCAACATTATCCTATTTCCCTGCAAGTAGTTACCACTATCTGTAACTACTTACTTAGCTTAGTGTCTGTTTCTCCAACTTGAACAGGAGCAGGTAAATTATGGCCAGACAGCCAACTGTTTCGTGTGGCCCATGATCTAAGAATGGTTTTTACATATTTAAGTGTTGTAAAAAAATTTAAAGACTATTTCACAACACATGAAAATTATGTGAAATTCAAATTCCAGTCTGCGCAAGTACAGTTGGAACACAGTCATTCTCATTTATGTGTTATCTACGGCTGCTTTAACACCGTAACAGCAAAGTTGAGTAGTTGTATGTGGCCCACAAAGCCTAAATATTTACAGGAAAGGTTTTGTTTTCTAAACCTTTATTTATTAAGTAACCTGTACCCGCAACATGGAACTGGAATCACAATTGCAAGAGGAAGAGTCACATGCTCTAATGACTGAGTCAGCCAGGCACACCCAGAAAAGGTGTTCTGACCACTGCACCAGAATGTGAGTGCTATGGGTCAGGGGCCTTGATTGTCTCGTGCAGTCCTTCACTCCTAGTGCCTGGTCCACAGCTAATGCGCAATTTGTAGGAGGAATCAATCTTCCCACTCTCCAATCTTCCCACTACTACCTGAGGCAGTAGGTGGGCATAGTAGGTCTTATTGGTTTATTCCCTTCCAAGACCCAGACAGAGGAACTGGGAACCAATTATTATTGACTCTAGGAAAGTACCCTGAAAACAGATCTATGTTTTATTCATCTTGAAATACCTAGAAAAGTCTTTTGCACAAGGCAGGGTGCTGCTGGAAGAACTCTTTTGGGGTTGTTGTTGGGCTAAAATTAAAGTCATGTAAACGGCTCAGCACGTCAGATGGACATCAGTGTTCACTGTTCGCTCCTGCCTCAATTTTCCTTGCTGTGATGGGAATAAAATATGGGGCAGTACAACAGACTAAATTAAACAACAGCTGCGCAAACTACAAACACCCCCCGAATCGGCTTAGCCAAGAGCGTGCGGCGCGTTCCTAAACCTCGGCACCGAGCAGCCCGGCTTGGAGCGAAGGGTCCTCACCTGGGAGTGAGAGGACGGAGCTCTTCCTAACTCTTACCACCCAAGTGACCCCCGAGCAATCGCAGCCTCGGGGTAATGGGGCCTCTCGGCGGACACGACGTTCCCCTGGGGCCCAGCGGCCTGTCTCCGGCCGGTCTCGGCCTCTCCGGCAGGAACCGAGCGCTCCCGCTGCCGCCCCCACCGCCCGCAGGCCGACGCGGCCGGAGGGGCGGGGCGGGGCCAGCCCGGGCAGAACGGGGCGTGTCCGGGGCTGGGGCCAGCCCGGGCGGGGCCAGCCCGGGGCAGGGTGGGGCGTGTCCGGGGGCGGGGTCAGCCCGGGGCGGGGCGTGTCCGGGGCGGGGCCAGCCCGGGGAGCGTCCGGGACGTGTCCGGGACCAGCCCAGGGGCGGGGCGGGGCCAGCCCGGGGGCGGAGAGGGCGTGTCCAGAGGGCGTGTCCGGGGGCGGGGCCTCCGTCTTTCCGGCCGTAGCCGCCGCCGGGCCGGGCCGCAGGGGGGCGCCGCCGGGGCCGCGCTGCTGCACGAGTTGCCGGGCAGCGGAGGAGGCCCTCACTTCCGCGTCGGGCCCCGCGGCGTCCGGCGGCCGCGCCGAGGGCCGGGCGGGCCGCAGGTCAGTCGGGGAGGCCGCCTACCCGGCCCCGCCCCTGCCGAGGACCGGGGCGCCGGGTGGGCCGCGGGCCCGGGAGGCGCCGGGTGGGCGCCCCGGGGAAGGGCCCGGATCGCGCCGGCATCACGGGCGCCCCGGGCTGCAGCCTCGGGCTCCGGGCCGACTCGGGGTCCCCGGGCAGCGGGGAGACCCCGGCGGGGCTTTCTGGGGTCGCGGCCCCTCCGCTTTCGCCGCCTCGCGGGAGGAGTGCGAGCCCCTTGAGCAGCGTTTCTCCAAGTGGGGTCCGCGGGCGGACTTCCCACCCCGTGTGGGACTTTCTGAACCCGACCGTGCTGCGGCCCGGGAATCTGAATTTGCAGCAAGCGACTCTGATGGTTTTGGTGCAGGTGGTCACGGAGCCGCATGGGGGGGCACCTCCCAGGGGGCAGGGCGCTTCCGACACAGCAGGGGGTCTAAGTGGGGTGCCCCCAGGCTGGGGCCTCGGAACGGTGACGGATGGTTCTCTGCCGTAGGAGAAGCTGACTTAGGCGGGGTCCCTCCTCATCCCTGTACTCAGGCTGCTGCTGTGCTCCTGTCGTCGACAAGAAGCCTCCAGGTGGACAGGTGCTTGGCGGGTGAAGCGCCCAGGTCGGGAGAATTAGGGATGCAGAAGTAGGCAGCTGGGGTGCAGCTGGCCCTGCTGACCACGTACCAGCGGGGCAGCCCGAGTGTGGACCCTGCTCCCATCGCTCGCTTTCTCCTCGTCTGTCGGTAGGGACAGTCAGTCCTATCCAGTAGGGCTTTAATAAGATAATTGCTGCCAAGTGTCTCCTGCATAAGCACCGAGTAAATGGGAATTATTAAGAGCGATTATGAAGTATATTCGGTGGACTGTGCACAGATTCTAACTGGAGGGGGTGGGAGGTGGTCCCTGGGAAGGTCACGCCAGTAGTGACACCTGCCTGTGGCTTTGAAGAATAGATGGATTTCAGGAAGCTGCTACCTGGGGCAGCGAGAGCCAGTTGCACCCCACGGTCAGAGGCCGTTCTCTCACATGGATCGTCGCCCGGCTGCTCCTAGGACTTGTAGGCAGCAAAAGAAGTCCCGTCGACAAGTGCTCCTTGAAAGCTGGACCGTTGGTCCATAAGGGTCTCTGTCCACCGAGCATGTTTGACACACATTGTTTTCATCAGACACCACTGGCCTCCTGTCCCCAATTCATTGGAGACCCGCTAAATTGGAGCGTCTACAAAAGGATGCTAGTTGATCACATAGTAAAAATGAGTTGCCATGGATATAATCGAGCCTCTTGGCAGCCATTTGACATTTGCTATGAAATACGCAGTGACATCAGGGAGCGTGTCTGCGCCTCTTTCTTCCCAGCATTGTTTTAGGTTCCGTAGAAACCCCACGGTCACCTGGGGTTCATCCAGCTCCTGGAATGGCTTAAGGGATCAAGTCCTTAAAACTTCTTTAAAGCTTCAGCCATTTTAGAATGGAGAAGCCGGATGATTTAGGGTTGTTATCAGTCGCTTGTCTGGACCAGTCTGGCTACTGGTATACATCAAATTGTGACCTCAGTTGCTAAATTACACACTCCTTAGTTTCCTAACTTAGGAACTACAATCACCATTGTTCATAATTTCTGCTCTTACGTTTCCTGAAATCCCCAGGGCCAGTATCGATCCCTCAGTATACACCTTATGGTGAAATTTATATCCTTAAAGACAATATTTGTCATGTATGGAGGACTGTCCCTGAGCCAGAGACTGTTCTAGATGCATTTTTTATGTTCTGCGGTTATTCCTCTGATAGTCCTTTGAGGTGGGCACCATCCCTGGCTCCATCTTACAGATGAGGAAGCAGGCAGAGGAGAGTAATTTGCCCCACCTCGTAGGCAGTAGAGCCCAGCAGCCTAATCCCGAGGTACGTGCTGACCCCTCTGCAGTCTAGACAGCTCCCTCAGGCTTACTGTAAAGACATGGGAGGATCAAAGAACCTAAGCTAACCTCACCTCTGCCTTATAGGTGACAATGCATTATTTTGTTTGATTCTTTAAACAGTCATTTCAGTAGCTATGATTTGGTTGGTGAGGGTTTAGCATTTACGAATACTCAGAGCCAAAGTTGTCCAGCTTCTCAGCTGGTATCTCAAACTTCTTTCATATTACATAAAGTCCTTCAATATTGTCAGTGCTGAGAAATTTATTTTGAGTCACATTGAAATATGTTTGTTTTATTATCTACTTAGTGTATTGTTGGCGGTGTCAGCAGTGATGGTTCTTTGTTTTTACAGAGGTGGACCAGGACCACTGCTATTGTGCAGTTTCTGAGAGTGTTTGAAGGCAAAAATTCAGGTGTTGCTGGGAGCGATGGAAGGTCACGAGGCAGAAGAAAAGGTGTTAGATATTCTTCGACTGAACGTTGGTGGCTGTATTTACACAGCCAGACGTGAGTCCTTGTGCCGCTTTAAAGACTCGATGCTGGCATCTATGTTCAGTGGTCGTTTCCCTCTAAAAACAGATGAATCGGGTAAATATCTAAAGTCTGTAAGCATGATCATAAATATTCACTAAAATAGTCTAGTTTAAATTCCCTTCGGTTTTCCTAATTACAGTAGAATATATTCGACTAGTATGCTAATTATTGAAACCATTAAAGCTGTTTGGAGATTTATTAAATACGGGGAGAAATGAAATGCCAGTTTCCAGAATCTGCGATGCTGTCACTAAAAAGTGACAAAAAGACGTCTGTGTGTAAAGGCCTACCATGACCTCAGAACGGGGGTTGATTATATCTGGAAAACTGTTACAGTCGTGCAACTCTGTGGGGAAAGGTATTGAGGCTTCTCTCTGTGTTCTTCAAGTTAAAACCTCGATTTCTCTGGAGAGAGCAGCCGCCTTCTTTGTTCATAGGGCAGTCACCGGCAGTGTAGAACTGGTGTTAGACTTGCCACCTAATCTGGCTGGTAGCCTTGTGTGGGCTGATGTGTACAGATGAGAAAATGTTAGTGCAGTGTACCATCGGTCACCTGGTGGTAGGGGACTGAAAATTGGTGTTCCAGAAAAAACTAAAACACAAGGGTAGGGACCTGGGCTGCTCTCCCTGCTTGGAGTGCTCTGGTGTTTACTGAACCTACGACTGGTTGTAGAGAAACCTCAGCAACTCGAGTAAGGCATTTTGCACACCTGCACTGTTCTGGGGCTCAGAGAACCCACTCTTGCTTCTGTGTCAGAAGAGAGAGAGTGAGGAGTCCTGAGCACGAGGGGCTGTTAGTAACCCTGGGCTTTGAGAGAGTGCTTTGCCAGCTGACAGGCAGTTGAATGAATGGAAAACACCAACGGCTGGCGCCCAGGGCTTGGTGGCCATGTGGGCAGGAAGGTGGCTGGTGAAAAGATGATAAGCAGGGATTGAGGTTTTTCTCTATCTCCAAGCTTTAACTTCTTAATCCCTTGTATCCTAAGCTAATCGAGGGAGAAAAGGAATTATTGAGTAACCCCACACCAACTCTGCTAAATTGTCTAAGAAAACCTTTGGTCATAAAGTAGTACCAGTGTAGCATTAGGAGCCGAGCCCTGGGTTTATTTGTCAGTGAAACTACAGGTTGACTTACAGATGAACATGACTTATTAACGGGCATGCCCTCATTAGGGATGAACTCCGTATGTGTCCCCTGGCTGGGCAGGGCTGGGGTTGGGGGTAAGCTTACATTTCAGAAGCCATCTGGGGTCTCTGTGGCTTTTGAATGGCCATAGCAGGGAATACAGTCATTGCATCCAAAATCCCAGATGGACCTTGGGATACATTTTCCTATGTGGTAGGTGAGAAAACAGAGGATCACCAAATTTGACTAAACCCTTTTGAACAGTAGCTATTAACTCTCTTATGAGAAAGAAACATTTCTAATTGCAGAGGTCTTCAGCCTGATTTTAGTTTGATGATTTTATCCATGGTCATATGTATCTATGCACTCATTTTTTTAACTGAATGTTTTCTAGGGGCTTGTGTGATTGACCGCGATGGACATCTATTTAAATACCTTTTGGATTATCTTCACGGAGAAGTTCACATTCCCACAGATGAGCAAACCCGAATTGCTCTGCAGGAAGAGGCTGATTATTTTGGCATCCCTTATCCATACAGCCTGTCCGACCACTTGGCCAATGAAATGGAGACATATTCTTTAAGGTCAAATATAGAACTTAAAAAGGTCTTGGCATTTTTTTAAGTTTTAAAAAATATATATGTATACATATATATACATTTTTATACACAAAGCAATGTGTGTTATTTTGCATAGCCTGTGTTGTCACATAAACCAAACTAGAGAAAGTTTTACTTTTCCTAACCTTGGAAGACACTTTTCTGAATTACTACTAATTTTTTTAAAGCCAAAATTCTGTGTTCTTCCTAGGAAAGTATATTACATTGCCACTCAGAGGTTTATGGAGTGTTTATTTCTCATTGAAGATTTAATATCTTTTTGATGGCTTTTTAATAGAAATATTCTGCTTTTTAGGTTCTTCGTAAATTAACAGCAATACTGTAGTATGTAAGCATATAGTGGTATTATTTTATTTACTGAAAGGACAAAAAGAATGGTCATGATAAGTAAAAGATTGTATAAAATCTCCTACCTGATTTAGTGAGTGTAGCAGTTTGTTACCAAGTGAAAACTTAGTAATTGGTTTGTTTAATTCACTTTGAGATCAATCTTTTCTTAAGATGCTCTTCCTTTATTTTTTTTTATTTTTATTATTTTTTAAAAATTTTATTTATTTATCATGAGACACACAGAGAGAGGCAGAGGCATAGGCAGAGGGAGAAACAGGCTCCATGCAGGGAACCCGATGTGGGACTCGATCCCGGGTCTCCAGGATCAGGCCCTGGGCTGAAGGCGGTGCTAAACTGCTGAGCCACCCGGGCTGCCCAAGATGCTCTTCCTTTAAATCACATTTTAAAGAGTTTTATATGACTTGAAAAGCTTCATTACTTGTTTCTGTCTTACTGTTAAGTATTATACTTGCCTTTAGCACCTGTGGGGATCTCAAAGGAAAATATTTTTTCTAGATAATTAATAATAGTAACAACTGATCTGAATTGGTTTGATTTGGACATTGGCTTAGGAGAGGAAGCTGAGGGTATGGTTATTAGTGTAGCATGAAGAGAAAGTTGATTTGGTTCCAGATCCCCTTCTAGTCAACCACATGGAATTTGCATTGGTTGTATGGGTTCTGCTACTGAAGTTATTTAGAAATTGAGTCATTGGACAGTTCTTTGGTGTTATTTGCCACATCTATCTGCAGAATGAGGCTAAATGAGCCAAACTAGAAAGTTGGGGTAGGTTAACATTTCATCTTCTGAAGTCTCAACTCTATAGTCTTTTATTTCTGATTTGTATGCAAAAGGGACATAGCATGTGTATGTTCCCTATGTCAACCAACACATACTTATCTCACATGTTTTTGGTGTATAGAGCACTGCCTTAGGGACTGTGTGGGACACAAAGAAATACAACATATAGTTAGATAGCAATATTAAATGAAAATGTAAGACATGTTAGGGTCCTGTTTTCATTTACCGAGTCAGTAAATTTTAAGCATTTCCTTTGTGTCAGGCACTATTCCAGGAAATTGGCATACCAAATAAAGCAGATACAAGTGCCGGTCCTCAGGGCATTCTCAGGAATAGTACTGTTTCTCCTGGGGAAGGCCCTTGCCACTCCACTGGGTGAAGCCCTACTATTGTGTGTCCCTTGGCACATCATAAGCTCACCTGGTAGCACTTATACTGTGTGCTGAGGGGTATTGTCTCTCTGTGTTTTACATTGGCTATAAACTTAAGGAGGATTGGGACTCTGTGTCCAGGACTTTGGACACTGCTTACCACATTAGTAGTTTCTTAATATTCATATGAATGAATGAATGGTAGATAAAAGCCGCAGTTTGAGTTCCTATATTCATATCTTTCAGTGGAAAAGAACACATTAATCTGGTTAATTCTTGATTGGCCTTGGAGTTAAAAATAAGCATCAACCATGGGTCTTAATGAGTAGAAGGTGAAAGGGAGATTGAGTCAAATGGGAAATTGGGGAGGAAATAAAGTTTAAAAGGTCTAATTTTTAGTCATTACAAAGATTTTAAAATTAAAAGTGATGTTGCTAGTGAGGCTAAAGGGGGAGGGAGGAAAGTACAATTTCTCTGTGGAAAAAGGTTCTATACATGAAAAGGTGTTGGGTTTTTGGGTGGTGCTTTTTGTGATTTGCCGCACCCCCACCGCATATTCAACAAAAGCATGTTTGGTTTTTCAAGGCATAAAGACTAGGCTGAAATTTATGATCTTTTTATTTCCTTTATGACCAACTGAAATTGCAGCTTTACATGAAAGTAATAGAGCAGATTCATTTTTACTTTCCTCCAGAATTAAATTCAAATTTTGTATATTTTTTTTTGCTTCAGGCTTTAACAGACTTCTGTGATTCATATGGTTTAGTTTGCAATAAACCAACAGTTTGGGTTCTCCACTATCTTAATACATCTGGTGCAAGCTGTGAGAGTAGAATTATTGGTGTATATTCCACAAAAACTGATGGAACAGATGCTATTGATAAGCAGCTGGGAGGAAGAATTCACAGTAAAAGCATTTTTAAAAGGTATGTTCATATTTGAATATGAAAAGGAACAAAATAAAGTCTTGGTCTCTAGTAAGAGGTGTTAACTGAATGGAGTACGTGGTTGACTAGAAAAGATCGTCAACACCTGGCGAGCAGCGTGAGCTTTCACGGCTGTCAAGACAGGCTTGCTTCATGAAGAGATTGTAATTAAGACCATTTCACATATATGTAAGCTATAGGACATCCACAGTGGTCTAGTAGATTGCCTCTCTGCTGGGCATCAGAATCCCCTGAGAGGCTTTATTAAAAAAAGGAAAGAAAGGAGAGCAAAGCCACCTCCCTGGCTGTCTCCCCTGGACTACAGTCCAGTAGCAGAAGCACTGCTTAGAAGTCGGCAGGCCTTCTGAGTGACCCAGGACAGGCCTGTGCCTTGGTGTCCTGTTCTGAGAAATGATAAAGACTTCCTTGGTCCCTCCCAGCCTTAAAATTCTGTTCTTAACATGTCAAATTCTTAAGGGTTATTCTCTTAATATTTTTTCTGTAAACTTACTTAACATTGGTCAATTCACTTAGCTGTTCTGGGTTGGATTTTTGTTGTTGTTGTTGTTGTTTTTAAATTCTCTGGGTGTTTGGATTGGGTCACATATTAGTGACTGATGAATGACCACATGAACTTGCTTAGTAGGTATTAAATATGTCATAGTTTTCTGAATTATTTACAGGATGTTTAAATAAGATATATGAGTGCCTGGCATAATGCTATGAAAGTTTTAGCCAAAGGTGAATCCTTTAAAAATTTTCCTGGGGTTAGGTAATTTTTTTTTAGAAAACTTATTCTTAAAGATTTGTTGATTTGTCTGCACAGTCTGTATTGCAGAATTAACAAGTACTTTACCACAGTAAAAAGAGATGAAATACAGGTTAGCATGAGTATAGTATAGTATACTCATAGTATATAATATATAGTATATTCTCTATGTGCTTAAGGAAGGGTCACAGAAGAACAGCTATTCAATAACAACATATTTTTCCCCTTAATTTAACAAGTACTTGGTGAGTATCTGTTAGCTGTGTGTGTGTGTGTGTGTGTGTGTGTGTATGTGTCTATACACACATTAATACTTAGGTAGTATGTTTTAATCACCTTTTGCAATATTTCTAGAGAGGCGGGAAATAATGTTCAGTATATTTGGAGCTATTATTCAGTAGCTGAACTGAAGAAAATGATGGATGCCTTTGATGCCTGGGAAGGAAAAGGTATAGTACAATTCTTTTATTTCATGGCATAAGGTAGACTTTTCCTTAATAAAACAAAATAAGCTCAAATGCTGCATTTCTTTTTTTGAGAAAGTATTTCTATAGGTCAGGTATTTCTTTGTATGTTTATCACCTCATAGTATCATTGACTGAGGCAGTTTGCTTAAAAATCTTAGACCTCTTGGTGTGCCTGGGTGGCTAGGTTGGTTAAGTGTCCGACTCTTGGTTTGAGCTCAGGTCGTGATCTCAGGGTCATGAGACCTAGCCCTGCGTCAGGCTGTGCACTTAGCACAGAGTCTGCTTGGGACACTCTCTCCCTCTCCGTCTGCCCTTCCCCCTGCTCTCTCTCTCTGAAATAAATAAATCTTTAAAAAATGGTTAGACTCCCGAGTTGCTAGATATTACTAATAGTTCATAACCTAGTAACCTGAAAAATGGTTTATAATTTCAGCATGTTAGTTGTGCTAAATTAGTTCAGTTTAAAAAGGGTTTATTTAGCATCTACTATAGACCTAGCACTGTTCCTAGGAAGTATACCTTTAAATTAAGCATACAATGTATAATCAAAAGAAAAAAGGAGGGGTGCCTGCCAGAGCTACTAAATACTACATATGGATAAATTTAATCTTAGATTTAATTAATGTGTGACTCCCGATATTGGGGTTGAGTGTTCAAGCCCCATGTTAGGTAGATATTACTTAAAAGGAAGATCTTGAAAAAAAAAAAAAAAAGGAAAAATTTTAAAAATGAAAATAATGCCACAGAAGATGTCTGAAGAATGCTTAGGAAACATCATCTTTAAATGCACACTTTGAAATTTGACCATTTTTATTAACTGCTTATATTATTTGATAATAATAATGCTATTTAGTATCCAGTGTGATAAGAAGTTTACATTCTGTACCTCTTAGTCTTAAAACAATTCTGGATACTATGTACCATTTTATTGATGAGAAAACTGAGTCTCAGAGAGGCCATGACACTTGCTTAAGGATCACAAAGAGTTACTGTTCTATGCCTATTTTTTTCTTTTTAAGATTTTTATTTATTTATTTATTTATGAGAGAGAGAGAGAGAGAGAGAGAGAGAGAGAGAGAGAGAGAGGCAGAGATACAGGCAGAGGGAGAAGCAGGCTCCAGCAGGGAGCTCAATGTGGGACTTGATCCCGGGTCTCCAGGATCAGGCCCTGGGCTGAAGGCAGATGCTCAACTGCTGAGCCACTCAGGTGTCCCTATGCCTATTTTTTTCTTAATTAACAAGTATGTATTGAGTGTCTATTAGGTGCAAACACTATAAGAAGTTCTAAGGTTGGATCCACAGTTAAATAGGACACATATTGGTCCTCAAATGATCTTAAAAGCTGGTAGAGACAGACACTGCAAGCAACATAAGATTGAGTAAAAGGAGAGGAAGAGGCTTTTAAAAGCTCTCCCATCACCTGTTTCTCTTTCAGGCAGGGTGCTAGTACCAGCCCTTCCTTTCCTCAGCTTTGTCTGCCTCACTTTTCCTCCTTTATTTTTTTCTACATACCCTGCAAACAGATAGGAAAAAGTGCTGTTCTCTTTAAGCTTTTTAATTTTAGATTTAATTGACTTTGAGGCACTTAGGCTTAAATTGAGGAACAAACCCCCTTGGTGTTCTCTGTGTTTCCTCTTGTGCCTCTGGACTGGCAGTCTGCCCAGGAGGCTTCAGGAGGGCCCTGGCGGGGCTTCTTTCTCCACGGACTCAGGAAGCTGAAGCGGGGAGCTGAGACTACTGGCTTACAGAGCATAAGACTGATGTTAACTTTTTAGAGAACACGTAATGAAGTATCAGTGGTACTTAACACAATTCTGGAAGGCCTGTGGAAAGCCATCAGACAGGAAACAGAAGTAAGAGAAAGAATTATTGGAAGGAAGAAGGCAATTATTGTTTGTGGACAGTGTGCCTTTTTAGGAAACCCAAAGGAACCAACCAAAGGTATTTTAAATGAGGAGTTTAATAGACCAGACTGGCTGGGTACAATATAAGTAAACAAAGACCAGCTTACTTATGATAGATTAGTTAGAAATTTTAGGGGGAAATCCCATTCACAATAGCAATGAACAACAAGATAACTAGGACTGACCTATCAAATGCTTGAGTCTTTTGTGAAGAAAACTGTTGAAATATACTTATCCATTCATCAGTTCATCTATCCAGCTATAAAAACAAAGAAGACACAAAGATTATGGTGAAATATACCAAATATATTTTATATTTTTCATGTAAAGACATCAGTTCTTCTCAGATTAAGTTATAGGTTTAATACAATTCCTATCAAAATATCAGTGGAGCTCTTTGGGAATCTTGAGGACGTGATTCTAAAATACATTTGATAGAATAAGCCAGTGAAATCACCAAGAACATGTTGGGAAGTAGACGTCGTTAGAGGAATGAGTCTAACTGTGTGATAGTAAAAATACTACATATGGATAACAAGAACTACATGTAATAACAAGAACCAGATGTTTCTGGTACAAGAATAGATGCAGAGATCAGAAGTAAACCCCAATGAAGTTATAAGAATAAAAATACTATGTGATAAAGGAGTATTAAATACCAATATAAAAAGATAGATGATTTAATAAGTAGTTGAGAAATATCCTTGGAGAAAACAGAACTTTAACTTCACGTCATTTATCAAAAATAATTTCAGGTGAATTTATGGATGAAAAATGAAGCTATAATAAACTATAATGAAACGTAAGCAAATAATTGATTTCTTAACTGAGAAATAAATCATAAAGACAAAGATGAATAAATTTTATTATGTGATATTTAATATATTTAAAACAAAAAAGTATAAATAAAATTAAAAGGCTAGTAAAAACTTAGATAAATACGTTATGTTACCTGGACAAAGAATATCCTTAAAATAGAGAGGATTTATGATTTAAGTTGATTAGAAAATCAGCTCAACCCCTCTTGTAAATAAATGTGCAAGATTCATGACCCCAGAATTTCCAGGAAAGGAGATAAACATGTGGCAAGAGGTTCAAACTCATTATTTATCAATGAAATACATATTAGATGAGGCTTCTCTTTTTATACTAGATTAATAAAGATCTCTCATGAATTCTTGGCAGGAGTAAAAATTAATAATACTTTATTGGGAAATAATTTATCATTATATATCAATTACATCAGAATTGTTCATATTCTTTGACCCACTAATTGTACTTCTAGGTACCTACCTTAAGGTTATAATCAAATACAGACAAAGGCTTATGAACAGTGTTCAGCTAAGCATTATTCATAATAGAATAAAAATAAAAACAATATCAATATCTGTAATAGAGGATTAAATGCATATTGGTACATCTATGGGATATAGTTGAGCTATCGCTATTAAAATTATTATGAATATTTTTTTACATGGATGAATGCCCATGATAAAATAAGCTATTATGGAGTGATCAAAAGTAGGAAACAAAATGAAATGTGAATTGTTTTCAGTTATGTGTCTGTCATGTTAATAAGAAAAAGACTGGAATCAGATTCATCAAAATGTCATGAACCATGATTCCTACTTTTAGGATTAGAAGTTATTTTTTTAATATATACTTTTCTATATTATCAGTGTTTTGCACAATGAAAGTGAATTACTTTATAGGCAGGAAAAAAGTAGAAGTTTTTAAAGTAAATTGTGATCTATCCATATAATGGAATACTACTCAACAATAAGAAGAAATGATCATTAATGTGTATATCAACATGGATGAATCTTCAAAGCATCATGCTAAGGAAGCCAGACGCAAAAGGCTGTATACTATATGATTCCACTTACATGCCACCCCTAAAAAGGCAAAACTAGGGAATGAAGGGGAGGGCATTAATTGCAGAGGGAACTTTTTGGGGTGATAGAAATGTTCGCTGTCTTGACTGTGGCTATGATTACTTGACTGTATACATTCATCAAAACTCAATGAGCTGAGTACTTTAAAAGGGTGGATTTTATTTTATGTAAATTATATATACCTGACTTTTAAAAAGTCTTAATGGATTAGATTTGGGAATGTTTCTGTAGCATGTCTCATAGGCTTCTGTGAATATTGGACATATCTATTATATATAATAATTTATATGCCCAGCTTGCTAAATTGGTTAATATTTATTACTAAATCTTTAATGATTAAAAAACAAGACACCAGGGACACCTGGGTGGCATAGTCAGTTGAGCATCCAACTCTTGGTTTTGGCTCAGGTCATGATCTCTGGGTTGTGGGATCAAGACCTGCACTGGGCTTCACACTTGGTGTGTAGAGTCTGCTTGAGATTCTCTACCCTCTCCCTCTGCCCCTCCTGCTCATATTCTCTCTCTCATAAATAAATAAATCTTTAAAAAAACAAACAAACCAGGACACCATATCCACTCCTGGGACTTCAAAGCTCCTTTTTAAAAAGGGTTTTATTCAACATCATTTTTAAAGCCTTTTTAAATGCATCTACATATAATTTTTTATCATTCTCTTTTTTTAAAAACTGAGGTGAAATTCGTATAACATAGAATTAAAGTATACACTTTAGTGACATTTACTCCTTTAACAATGTTATATAACTACCATCTCTAGTTGCAAAACATTTTCATCACCCAGAAGGAAAGCCAGTACCTGTAATTGTTACTCCCCATTCTCTTCTCTCTTCAGCCTCTGGCAACCACCAGTTTGTTTTGTGTATCAATGCATTTGCCTCTTCTGGATATTTCATGTAATCAGAATCATACAATATCTGACCTTTTGTGTTTGGCTTTTTCACTCAGCATGATGTTTTCAAAGTTCATAAAAATATATTTCCAACTTTCATTCAGAAACTTACGATTTAAAAATGAAAATAAGTTTGACCACAGTCTTGGCCTAACATTTAACTCAGACTATTCTTGTTTGAAAAGATGCTTGTAGGGTAGTGACAGCTCATATTTATATACTGGTTGCCCTTACAGGGTGGTTCACAAAATTTCCCTGATTTGATGATTACTGCAACCCAGTGAGGTGGACAGGGTGGGAGTTAGAACCCTCAGTGTGCAATCCTTACACTACTGTCAACACTACAATTTATAATATTAGTATATTATTATAAAATAAAGACACCTATAAATATAAATATATATATATATATAGACATATAGACACACACACACACACACACATATTGTTTAAATGCCAGGCCATATACTAAGCATTTTGCATTAATTTACTCATTTAATCATCACAAAAAACCTATGTACTATTACTCTCATTTCACAGATGAAAAAATTAAGGCATGGAAAAGTTAAGTAACTTTCCCAAGGTCGCATGATTAGTGCATGATAGAAGTGACATTCAGACCCAGGGAGTCTTGACTCCAGAACCTGTGCCTTCAGCCAGCACACACTCATCTGCCCAGGACCCATTTAACGACCTGCCGATTATCAGTGGTGGAGCTGGGGCTGGTAGCCAGCGTATTCCTAGACCTGGGTTATGAGCTGTGCCCCGATTACCTCGGCGCTTCATGGGAACGCTTCCTGAGCACCCTACCTTCTTCAAGTAGGAGGCATGAACTTCAAACTCTTTCTGCCTGGTGAACCATTTGCAGCGGACAGTGGCTCTCTTAATTATGCCTTTCGATCTTCCAGGTGTTAGCTACTGGCGGGTGCCTCATGAGCTGATAGAATGTTGGACTCTGGAGGAGCGGCCTTTACTTGGAAGCCTCCGTCACATGGCCCCAGTTCGGAAGAGGTTATCTGTGCTGTGTTGATACTGTTTTTTGTTTTCTTAATGTGACCTGTATCTTTACTGCCTTTATTAGGGAAATGAATAATAGTTCTTGACCTTACTAAACTTATTAATCACCCAGGTAAGTTTTCTGCATTACCACCAAAAGGTAAGTCATGATAAATTCAAAACTATGTAAAAACTGGAAATAATTCTCTAGAGTTGAGTTATAGTATGTTCTTTTTGGGAGAGTGTGATTTTAAGAATACTAGTGGACACAGTGTATGCTCTGGTATTTTTCCCTATAAAAGTGAAATCCTAGGCTTTATTGGCAGTAGTCAAAAACTTACTTATTAGACTTAATATTTGGAATTTCCTGTGACTTATTCTGAATTCTTTTCTCCTTCTGTTGCCACAAATAGCATTTTTATTTGATGACATTTCATTTATTCTATGGAATTATTAGATAGTTCACTCCACATCTGTGCTTTTCACTGTACTTTAAGTACATTTAAGATCATATTTGTTTTTCATTGTCTGGGTATTATTCATGGTTTTCAGATGTTCTGATTTCTTGGTCATCTGTTCTAGAATTTGATTCAATGCCCCTATGGAATCTCTGATTGCTTTCTTTTTTTCTCTCCCTTTGGATCTTCCACAGAAATGCAGAGTTTTGTTTAGTTTTTAGTAGTTCATTATCTCTTGTTAAAACAGATCTTTTTTCTTAAAGGCCCTTTTTTACTATCATTATTTATTTTGCATTTTGAGTTAGCAAATATTGTTTGGGTCTAGAGCAGTGGTTTTGTCTATAAGACAAAACTGGGGGCAGTTTTGTCTTATAGGGGGGATTTGGCAATATTTAGAGACTCTGTGGAGTGGGAGATGCTACTGGCACCTAGTAAGTAGAGGCCAGGAATGCTGCTAAACATCTTAGAATGTACCGGGCAGCCCCTACAACAAAGATTTAATCCCACCATAAATGGCAATAATGCTAAGGTTGAGAAACCTTGGTCAAGAGTCTAGTGGAAGATGTGGACAGAAAATAAAACAAACCGGAATGGTTTTAAGGAGATTCTTCTCTGTATGTCTTTCCTCTGGGGTTTTATTTTTTATTTTTTTAACATATTTTTTAATAATAAATTTATTTTTTATTGGTGTTCAATTAGCCAACATACAGAATAACACCCAGTGCTCATCCCGTCAAGTGCCCACCTCAGTGCCTGTCACACATTCACCCCCACACCCCCGCCCTCCTCCCCTTCCACCACCCCTAGTTCGTTTCCCAGAGTTAGGAGTCTTTATGTTCTGTCTCCCTTTCTGATATTTCCTACCCATTTCTTTTCCCTTCCCTTATATTCCCTTTCACTATTATTTATATTCCCCAAATGAATGAGAACATATAATGTTTGTCCTTCTCCAATTGACTCATTTCACTCAGCATAATACCCTCCAGTTCCATCCATGTTGAAGCAAATGGTGGGTATTTGTCATTTCTAATGGCTGAGGAATATTCCATTGTATTCATAAACCACATCTTCTTTATCCATTCATCTTTCGATGGACACCGAAGCTCCTTCCACAATTTGGCTATTGTGGACATTGCTGCTATGAACATCGGGGTTTTATTTTTGATTCATGGATAAGATCATGATAATGATGATTTAGAGGCAACCATGAGGTCCCAAAGAATCATTTGATTCACTTAAGAAAATTTAGTTCAGTAGTTTTAGGCTTGAATGTATTATATTTGCATTCTCTACTACACGTCAGTTTTCAGATCACCATGCCATTATGATCCTATTTCCAGGATCAAAGTTCATTATGGTATATTTATTAGCCTCTGAATACACATCAGTGCTGATGAAAGAGAGAGGACTTGGGGGATTGCTGTTACACTTCCTGGTCAGGACATGATCTTCGTGAAGTGAAACTGATGCAAGCAGTAGGAGCAGGCAGTGTTTCAGCAGTGGTTGTTTGACAGCTTTAAGGTCATTCCGAATAATACTCCCTGTGACTATTCCTTCATTTTGTTAATGTGGTATATCACATAGACTAGTTCATAGATGCTGAACCATCCTTGCATCTCTGGATTAAATCCTACTCGATCATGGTGTAGGATCCTTTTAATGTATTGTGTGGAATATGGTTTGCTAATATTTTGTTGAGTATATTGTATTTATGTTCACTAGGGATATTGGCCTGTAATTTACTTTTCTTGTGGCATTTTTATCTGGTTTTGGTATCAGGGTTATCCTGGCCTCATAAAAAGAGTTTGTAAGAGTTCCCTCATCTTCTATTGTTTGGAAGAGTTTGAGAAGGATTGGTATTAAATCTCCTTCAAATGTTTGGTAGAATTTACCAGTGAAACTATCTGGTCCTGCACTTTTGTTTGTTGGGAGGTTTTTATTTTTGCTTTTTGTTTTTGTTTTTTTTTAAAGTAAGCTCTAGGCCCTGTGTGGGGCTTGAACTCATGACCTCAAGATCAGGAGGCACATGCTCCACTGACTGAGCCAGCCAGGTGCCCTGGGAGCTTTTGGATTACTAATTCAGCCTCCTTACTAGTAATGAGTCTGTTCAGGTGGTCAGTTTCATCATGAATCAGTCTTAATATGTTGTATGTTTCTAGGACTTTTAAAAAATTATTTATTTCCTTTTTAAAAAACCATTGAAGTATAGTTGACATACAATGTTATATTAGTTTCAGGTGTACAACATAGTAAATCAACAATTCTCTACATTATGCATTGCTCACCATACTAAATGTAGTTACCATTTGTCACATACAATATTATATTAATTATTGACTATATTCCCTATGCTATACTTTTCATTCCCATGACTTACTTATTTTATAACTAGAAGTTTGTATCTCTTAATCCCTTAGAAATTTATCCATCTCTTCTAGGTTGTCCAATTTGTTGGTGTGTAATTAATTATTCATAGTAAGCTCGTATGAGCCTTTGTATCTCTATGGTATCAGTTGTAACATCTCGTCATTTCTGATTTTGTTTATTTGAGTCCTCTCTCTTTTTTCTTTGGAGTCTAGCTAAAGGTTGGTCAATTTTGTTTATCTTTTTAAAGAACCAGCTCTTAGTTACATTGATCTTTTCTATTGTCTTTATAGTCTTTATTTACTTCTGCTCTAATCTTTATTTCCTTCATTCGGCCAATGACGTGTAGTTGTCACTCAGCTATTCTTTAGAATTTTATTTTTTAAGAGGAAATTTTTCCATATGTAGATGTAGACTCAGTGTATCCATGGGAGGAGATAAATTCAAGATTTTCCTACCTCACCATCATGAACTGAAACAAATTTATCAGACGGTTTTGATATATCAAAAATCATATGATCATCTCAACAGATACAGAAAAAGTATTTGACAAAATTCAACAACAGTTTATGATAAAAACTCTCAACAAAATGGGAATAGAGGGATTACACTTCAATATAATAAAGGCCACATATAACAAGCCCACAGCTAGCAACATACTCAATGGTGAAAAGCTAATAGCTTTTCCTCTAAGATCAGGAACAAGACAAGGAAGCCCACTCTCACCACTTTTCTTGAACTTACTACTAGAAGTTCTAGCCAGAGCATTTGGCAAGAAAAAGAAATAAAAGGCATCCAAATTAGAAAGGAAGAAGTAAAACTGGCACTATTTGCAGTTGGCATGATAGTATATCTAGAAAACCTTAAAACTTCATCAAAACTGTTAGAACTAATAAGTAAATTTGCAGGATACAAAATTAATACATGAAAATCTTTGTTTCTATACACAAATGATAAACTATCAAAGAGAAATTAAGAAAGCAATCCCATTTACAATTGTGTCAAAAAGAATAAAATAGGAATAAATTTAACCAAGAAGGTGAAAGACCTGTATATTAAAACTATAAGAACTGAAAGAAATTGAAGAAAACATAAATAAATGAAGAGATAGTCTGTCATCCAGGATTGGAAGAATTAATATTGTAAAAATGCCCATACTACCCAGAGCAATGTACAGATTTAGTGCAATCTCTATCAAAATTCCAAAGGCATTTTTTATGGGAATAATACAAACAATCCTCAAATTTGTATGGAACCACAAAAGATCCTGAACAGCCAAAGCAATTCTGAGAAAGAAGATTTGACAAAGCTAGAAACTCATGGCTCCTGATTTCAAACTAGCATTGTATCCCCCCCTTTTCCATAGGGGATAAACTCCAAGACTCGCCAGTGGATGCCTGAAACCACGGATAGTACTGAACTGTATATGTGCTGTGTTTTTTCCTATACGTGCATACCTGTGATAAAGCTTAGTTTATAAATTAGGCATAGTAAGAGATTAATAGCAATAACTGACAATAAAATAGAACAGTTATAACAATATACTATAAACATTATGTGAATGTGATCTGTCTCTCAAAATATCTTATTGTATTATACTCTTCTTGTGATTATGTGAGATGATAAAATGCCTTTGTGATGAGATGAAGTGAAGCGAATGACATAGACATTGTGACACAGCATTAGGCTACAACTAACATTCTGGTCATAGAAGGAGGATCTTCTACTTCTAGACCATGGTTGACTCTGGGTAATGTAAACTACAGAAAGTGAAACTGTGTATAAGGGCAGACTACTGTATATTACAAAACTATAAAGAAGTATGGTATTGGCATAAAACCGGATACATAGATCAGAGGAACAGAATGGAAAGCCCAGAAATAAACCCACACATATATGGCCAACTGATTTACAACAAAAGGAGCCAAGAAGATATAATGAGGAAAGGACAGTCTCTTTAATACACAGTGTTGGGAAAATTGGATATCCACATGCAAAAGAATGCAACTAGATCTCTATCTTGCACCATACACAAAAATTAACTCAAGGTGGATTAAAGACTTGAACACAAGATCTGAAATCATAAAACTCCTGGAAAAAAAACAGAGGTAGTAAAAGTTCCTTGACATAGGTCTTAGCAATGACTTTTTTTGTATCTGACACTAAAAGCGAAAGCAACAAAGGCAAAAAAAAAAAAAAAAAAACAAGCGGGACTGTATCAAACTAAATAACTTCTACACAGCAAAGGAAACCATCAAAATCAAAAAGTATCTGCTGAATGGGTGAAAATATTTGCAAATCGTATATCTGATAAGGAGCTAAAATCTAAAATACATGAAGAACTCAACTCAGTAGCAAAACAACCCCACAGTGATTAAAAGAAATGAGCAGAAAATCTTAATAGACATTTTTCTGAAGAAGACAGATGGCCGACAGGTACATGAAAAGATGCTCAACATCAGCGATTATCAGGGAAATGCAAATCAAAACCACAATGAGCTATCACTTCAGATATGTTAGAATGGCTATTTTCAAAAAGAGAGGAGATAACAAATGTTGGCAAGGATATAGAGAAAAGGGCGCACTTATGGTGGGAATGTAAACTGGTGCAGACACCACAGAAAATAGTATGGAGATTCTTCAAAAAGTTGAAGGTACAACTACCGTGTGATCCAGCAATTTCACTTCTGGGTGAAAATGCAGAGTAACTTGAAAAGATACATGCACCCCCACGTTAATTGCAATATTATTTACAACATGGGAAAACCCAAGTGTCAGCTAATGGATGAATGGATAACACAGATACACACACACACACACACACACACACACAGTAGAATATTATTCAGCCATAAAAATGAAATCTTGCCGTTTGTGACAACATGGATGGACCTTAAGGGCATTATGCTAAGTGAAATAAGTCAAAGACTGACAAGTACCATGTGATGTAACATGTGGAGGGAAGGAAAAAAAAAAATCCAGGTAGATAGAACTGACAGGTGGTTGCCAGAGGCAGGGTTGGGGTGGGGAAAGGGAGAAAATGGGTAAACTAGGGTGGTTTGGGGTTTTTTTTGTTGTTGTTGTTTAAATAAATAGAATTTTTTTTAAATTAAAAAAACCAACAACACTGCTCCTTCTTCAGACTTTTTATAACGAATGGCAAACTCAATTCAGGAATCTTTGAAGGTTTGTCCAATACCTCCAATTCAATAAGCATTCAACGCTTAGACCGCGGGTTTGACCATTCTCGCAGCTCCCAGAATTGGCGTCACAGAATGCTAATTTTACGGGCTGCCACATGCTGCATCACAGAGTTAGTGGGAACAATATGGATCAAGATTAAATGAATGTCTTTACTTTAGCCCCCAGAACCTTTGTTAATAGGGATTGTGACGTTTCAAGAGGAGAGAGAATATGCAGCAGCATTTCTCAAGGAGTTTATCTATCTGTGAAACGCTCAGTAAATTTCCTCAGGAAACCTCTTAAGACTTGTCCTGCGGGAAAGGAACCGCCAGTTGGGATCCTGCCGGCTTGTCCTCTGGGTCACGTGAGGATGCCCGGGGGCCCAGCGAGGGCGCCCTAGCGTGACGGCCGAGTCCTAACCCGTCGTTGGTGTGGACACGGGGGTGCTCGCAGTCTGTCTTCCAGCAGAGGACGGTCTTCCGTAGGCCTGGGTGGGCGAGAGATGGGGCAGGCCCGTCGCCCTCCGAACCTCGCAACCCCGACTCCTGAGGAGAACGAGGCTGCCCTGAGGAGGACGAACCGGGGCGAGGTTTCCGCGAGAGGCCCGGCCGTAACGCTGACCGTGACCTGCTTCTGTGTTCACAGGCGGCTGGTGGCGTTCAGCGAAGACGAGGAGGACGGTGTGAACTGTAAGCCGGGGCCCAAGCCAGTCAGATTCCTGGGCCCTTCCACCAGCACCCAGATCAAGGTCAAGAACTCGGCGTCGGTCCGGGTGCGCCGGGCCTGCGCCCCGCAGCCTCCCGGCCCGAGGGCGGCTGCGCGCTGGGCGCCACCCAAGGCCGCGGCTCCTCGCGGGGCCGCCGGCGCCCAGAACGCCGAGAACGGCGCCGCGCACCCTCCTCCCGCCAAGGTCCCGCCGTCCGAGCCGAAGGCCGCGGGGCCGCGGGTCATAAAGCTCAAGCGGACTCCTCTGCGCGCCGCCGCGCCCGCCCCGCCGCCCCCGCCGCCCCCGCCGCCCCCGTCGCCCCCGTCGCCCCCGGGAGCCCCCGCCGCGCACGCGCGGACTGAAAACGGCCAGGGCCCAGCCGACTGACCGGAACGCGGCCGGGCGCCCCCCCCCCCCCAGCGCCCCCCGCGGCGGGGCCAGGAGGGAGCCCCTCGCGTTTCTCCGGGCGTCGGCGTCGCGGGAAAGACGACCGCGTCCTCTAGGAGGGGAAGAGGGAGGCGGCGCCCGTCGGGCCTGCCTTCCCGCCTCCTTTCCCCAACTTGGCCGTGGTTGTCTCCGGACAGTTGAATTTCGGGTTTTTAATTTTTTAATTTTTTTTGGATGGTTGATTAGTATTAAGGCAACGAAACAGTACAATAAAATCACTAGAGAAGTCCCCTTTGTTGCTGAATGATTACAGTAAGGTTCCTCCTCGCTGCCCAGGGTGGGTGGGCTTAGGTAGGCCGTCCGGGTGACCCTGGGTGACCCTGAGGCTGCCCGTGGCCTGGTGACACTGAGTGACCTTGAGGCAACCCGTGGCATGGTGACACTGGGTGACCCGAGCCTACCTGCGGCCTGGTGACACTGGGTGACCCCGAGCCTACCCGCGGCCTGGTGACACTGGGTGACCCCGAGGCTGCCTGCGGCCTGGTGACACTGGGTGACCCCGAGCCTACCCGCGGCCTGGTGACACTGGGTGACCCGAGCCTACCCGCGGCCTGGTGACACTGGGTGACCCCGAGCCTACCCGCGGCCTGGTGACACTGGGTGACCCCGAGCCTACCCGCGGCCTGGTGACACTGGGTGACCCGAGCCTACCCGCGGCCTGGTGACACTGGGTGACCCCGAGCCTACCCGCGGCCTGGTGACATTGGGTGACCCGAGCCTATCTGCGGCCTGGTGACACTGGGTGACCCCGAGGCCACCCACATCCTGGTGACACTGGGTGACCCCGAGGCTCCTCTGGGCTGCGTGGTATCCGGAAGGTTGGAGGGAACCTGCGGACCTAGGTGAGGCCCTGCAGGTTCCCTTCAGTCTCAGAAGGCTTCGTGAAAGGAAATGGGGGGGGGGGGGGAGACAGTAATTTAAGACCACAGCTTTGACTCTGACTCTGTTGAACTATTTTCTTTTCCCAGATTGTTTTTTCCATACTTTTTTTTTTTTTTTGCTGGCAGATTTATTTATACATCACAAGAACATGTCTTGGGATGAGAATTATATAACATGTCCTCCGAATGAATCGTTAAAATATTTGAATAGTGAAGTTTTGAAAGCCCTTTGGGAAAGAAGTTAAATGTTAGCTTTTAATTAAGTTACTATTTGTTTCTCAGGAATGACCACTGAGGAGTCATTCTGATTATACAGTAAGATTTTTATGCCTAAAATCCCCACTTAATTTGAACTTAATATTTTTAAACAAACTATTTGGATCGATCCTCTATTTTTTCACAACTATTCAGTTGTATGTGTTTACTCTTACGTGTTAAGTTTTATAATTGGATCCCATATTTCTACCTTCAGGAGGCTGCATGCCTTCGGTGTATTAAAAATAAGTTCATAAAGCAGGGTACTTTTTACTCAGTGCTTATCATTACTTTGAGAGAGTAAATATAGTAAGAACATTACTTTTTTACAAAATAAAGCAAAACTTTTCCAGAAAAAGTAACATTTTCCATGACTCTACTTATTTGTAAGCCTTAGAGCCCTTTGGTAGTTTGAGAGTTGTTTGTTTATGCAGTTTATCTATTTCTGGTTACGAAATTGCTTTCTTGTTTAGGTGATGTATGAAATAATTAAACCAATTTTGGGTAGCTATCCAGATACCAGCAGCCTTTTAAAATAGTTTTTTTTTTTTTTTTTTTTTTTGTCTAGAAAAACGTGAATGACATTTCCCTGTAGAATATAAAAAATATTTAGTCACCTTGAAAAATACTGTTATAAAGAATCCAAACATTCTGAAAATCAAAGATCTCAGCGAATTTTGAGAACTTGGATCTCAGACGTTCCTAGTATTGCTTGATGTAGGACATTTTGGATTGTTGATTCGTATAAGAATATTTTATACCAATAGTACCAAGAGACTTGCTTGATGCAGGGTTGCCACAAAACCTTCAATCTGTTAAAAAAAAAAAAAAAGCAGTATCTATGAAGCACAATAAAGCAAAGTGCAATTAAACGAGGAGTGCCTGTCCTCATGGGTGATTCTGTGAACAGCCTGCTCGCCGCCGCCAGCAGTTTAAAAGAAGTCGATTTAGCACATCTAGTCTTTATAAGCAGAGTTTCCGGAAGCGCTTCTAGGCCATGGGGCAGCTAAGGTGGAAAGGAGCACGTAGTTCCTTTTGTGTATCAGTCGTCAAAGTCAAATTCAGAATGCTCAAATACCTTGAACATAACTTTAGTTGGAGTGGTTCCCTGGGGATTAGGTACTTTTGCATGAAAATACAGATTCTGCAGACACAAAGGAGCAACCCATGATAACCCATTGCTCTTCCTGGAAAATAAAAAATAAGAAAAGGAAAAGCGTGCCTTATAAATAATGGTTCGGGGTCATTACTTTGGCAATGTAGGTTTGTGCAGTTGTTGGGTCAGAGGACACAGGATAGAAATTTTTAATGGTGAGTAGGACATTTAGTTACTGATCATAACAAAGAAAAGATATCTGACTATGCCCTTACAGGTAGTCTGTTGAAAACTGGTTTGCCCAGATTAAAACTGGTTAGTTGTGTCATGGAGAACCTAAGGCTGACAATTTATATCTTATATTTGTAAATAATAAGTTTTTGTTTCAATATTACATTACAGTTTATAAAGTATTTTCATATATTCTTTTTTATTGTGTTCATTTTGCTTGTTAGTTTCCGAACAACGACATAATGAAGAAGTCTTTCTCAGTTCTTTAAAGATCAAGGAAAAAATGAGGTTGAATAAAATAAAAGCTGTACGATAATGATACTCCCCATCCCAAACCCATAACCTGGTATCCACAGAATGACACACCACCACTGACCAAAGGAAAAGCTAGACAGAGGAAGTAGACTCAAAATGTGAATTTGTTTAATATTTAAAGTTTTTGAGCAGAAAAGTATTAAAGTATTGGATTACATGTCTGTTTCCTACTAGAGAGGGGACTCTGTTGCCTCCATATGCGCAATGCCTGGTACATGGTAGTCCCTCGGTAAATTTCTGCACGGTTAGGCAATCCCCACTCTCCCCCTACAAGGATTTTTAAAAATATGTCTGGTAGCAATCTTCAGGAGCTGTGGAAACTGATTTCCGACCTTGCAGAGTATATATAGTGTCAGAACAAAAGAGGTGGAAGTTCCTTAGTAGGGTGATTATTGCTAATGACCAAAATTACCGTTAGTTATGACCGTAACAGTTATATAACTTGTCAAGTTGTTTAAAGTAATCCAGAACCACGGATCATGAGATCTCAGAGAGCTGATCTCAGAGAGCTCGATGCCAATACTGCCTGACTTCTGAGAAGGGAAAAAAGCGGTCTGGTCTCTCTCCTCCTGCTTTATTGCTTCTGCTAGAATTGCTGATGCCATTTCTTTTTCATTCACAGACTTAATCCTATTCAAGTGCTAACACTGAAAAAATTGTTGACTCACTTCCCAGTCTGTGGTTAAATATAGTATAATTATCCAGCTATTCCTCATTTTTTTTAAAAGAAAGAAATAACAAGCAAGTATATTTGACTTTACCTGAGAAACTGTTCATAGAAAAATTTTGATTTAAGTAGCATTTTGAATGTTCACAAAGACTTGTGGTAGTAAATTGTTCTGTAAAGGAGAGAATGCTGACATTTTATGAATATGGGGTTACCTTCGAAAGGATTGCCTTATACCTGCAATTCCTTTGGATAACTTTCATTTATATTTGGTTAGATACTAAGTGGAAAGTATGAATTTGATAAAACGAAGGGAAAAAATTTCTACTCTAGCAAATGGAAAGTATTTTCAAATTATTTACATGTGCGTATTCCCAAATTAGCTAGGAACTTTCTAATGATGGAAAATACTGTCATTTTCCCATATGTGGAAACTCCCTTGAAAACTGTCAACAAGTTGTGGATTCCTCGGTGAAGAGTGGAAGAGTGATTCTTTGTCGGGGGCTGCAGTTAGTATGCAGGATTTCAAGCATGTACTACAGCCAAAAAAGGAAACATGAATAGCTAACAGAAAGAAAAAAAAATTTGGTTTCCAGCTGTTTTCAGAATTTCCTATTCATGGAATCTGGTTGGTGGTGCAGCCTCAAAAGGGCCATTTTCACCTAGTGTCCTGTCAGCCTCATGAGGTACACATGGCTCACACATTGTTATGGAGAAGCTCAGTTTTCTTTGTTCAATGTGTTGCCCCAGACAGCCCAGAGACATCTCATATTTGCTAGCTAGATGGTTCCTGAGGTAGGCCGTGGCTAAGACAGACAGAATTTTATGGTAACTGTATTTTGCCCTCGTGTAGTTAACAACTTCTCATTCTATTCTGTTGCTTCTCAGGCTTTTCATTTCCTTTTACCCTGAAGCCCTCATTACTTTAGTAAAATTTTGCCCAGCTGCTGGAATGAAGGGGGGGGGGAGCTGCTTCGAAGCTTCGAAGAGAACTGTGTTTTAAACTGTGTTACTGAAAGGAAACAGTTGTGTGTTTGCTCAAGTTGGGAAGAGGCAAATATTCCTTCCTTCTGCCAAGATTTCTTTAACAATTTGGACGTTGTGTTTCAATGGCAGCTCTTTCAAGAATGCATCCCCTAACTTCTTGGTTTGGAAGATGTGGAAACTCAACTTTTATGTAGATGACAGGAATAGCCCAAGGACCTCAGAAGCGGTACATTTAGACGTCAGCTGCGGGTCAGACAGTCCGGATTTTACTGGTAAGCTAGGCCGAACCTATCAGGAACCCATCAGGAACCTGGCGTAGCTAGAGGAAGAAGGCAACATGCACCTGCTCACCAGCTCTGTCCTTTTCCCTCTCTCCAGATCCCTTGTTCCCTCCAGATGAGGATTTTTTTTTAACATCAGCACTATTGACATTTTGGATAATTCTTTATTGTGGGTAACTGCTGTGCAGCGTAGGATGTTGAGCAACATCCCTGGCCAGCGACCCCTACCCCAGTTGTTATAATCAAAATGTCTCCAGACTTTTCCAAGTGTCTCCTATGGGTGGAAGGTGGGCACAAAATTGGTTACCCCCAGTTGAGAACAATTGGTTTAGGTGGGTGACTTAACCAGAGCAAAATAATTGCTTCCCCTAATTGGAGGCCATGAGTATGTGAGGAAACATCCCTATTGTCAGTTACAGGCAGGAATGGAGCCGTGGGGACCAAGGGAGAGGATACCAACGAAAGGGTGTCTTGGGCCTATCAATTAAAAAAATATATCCTATTAGCTCCCACTTAT